GTGTATTCTAAACACAGGGACACACATGCCAAAGTGTAGGGACCGAAACCTGTATAAATCATGAATTCTAGTTCACAAGCCATGACGTAACCAGCATATACAGTAACATAACATAAGCTCTTTCTTATTTCACATTTTGGCATGTGTCACATTCGTTAAAGTGCAGATAATGTGTTACATTCGTTAAGAAGAAGATCAAAGTGTTTTAGTAACCCTATAATTCCTGTGAAGATCCGGGGTAGAATAGGTCCTCAGCAACCCATGCTTGCCGTAAAAGGCGACAATGCTTGTCGTAAGAGGCGACTAACGGGATCAGGTGGTCAGGCTCGGTGACTTGGTTGATGCTTGTCACCGTATCCCAATTGCGTGGATCGATGCATAACACATACGCTACTCTTAAAAAAACTGAAATCCTTTTGGTATATATTTTTGTAATTTTAATGAATGGTGTAGTTTATATTTTTTGTTTGTTTGTTTTCTTTTCTTTGTTGTTTAACGCCACACTATCAGTATTCCAGCTATATGACGTCAGTCTGTAAATAATTGAGTCGGTACCAGACAATCCAGTGATTGACATTATGAATATCGATCCACGGAATTGGTATACTATCACATGTATCAAACAAGTCAGCGAGCCTGACCACCCGACCCCGTTAGTCGCGGTCGGGTAGCCTAGTGGTTAAAGCGTTCGCTCGTCACGCCGAAGACCCGGGTTCGATTCCCGACATGGGTACAATGTGTGAAGCCCATTTCTGGTGTCCCCCGCCGTGATATTGCTGGAATATTGCTAAAAGCGGCGTAAAATCAAACTCACTCACTCACTCACTTATACGACACGCATGGGTTGCGGAAGACCAATTCTAACCGGCTCTTCACGAGGGGAGACAGGCATGGGTTGCTGAAGATCAATTCTAACCCGTAAACAAATGTGGCTTGTGCATGATTGTTACGAATATGTTTATTTGTACTCCTCTATCGGCTGTTAGTTCAGGCGAGGTGTTTGGCGTTGCTGCTAGAAACAAAACGATGTTACGTCGAATTTGACCCCAAAACAATGAAAAAAAAACCCGACCGCGAGACGTTACAAATAATTATATACCAGGGCCATAAACCACAACTGAAATATTTTCGGGTTGCACCACAATATTACACTCAACACGTGGAATCCTGATAAGGATTGGATCCCGCAAGGTTTGGAATGTGAGCACGAAGTATGAAGACGTTTGGTAAGCAGGCATAATACCTCACAAATCCCCATTCAGTATATTACTACTGGGAGCTCGGGTCTAACAAGTATGGAAACTGTAATCCTTTAACACGGACGTATCCTAGTCGAAGACGGCTTTGTTGAACCGATTCCTGGGTGACCTTTGAAGGTCAATTGGAGTCCCCAGTACTTTTGATTCATGTCAATCTAAACCAACGTTTTCGTCCATTATGACAACATATAATTTTAACATTGACTAAATAGAGATCATTACACGAGCACGTGTGTCATACTGATTTTACAAAACGAGTGTCAGAATTCTTGTATTCTTGCGTCATTCGTCACCACTCGCCCCTTTCCGTAACCTGCAAGAAGACTCGTCCCCATATCGATGAATGTTATGTGCGAAAATACGACAAACCAATCAGATGCGCGCATGATTTCAAGTTCTTCGTCAAAGAATCCCTCAGAAATAATTTTTGATTTTACATATGTCTTGCACCTAAAAATATACCAAAGACACAGTTAAATGTGTTCAATCATACTGTATAATTTCGCACGTCCCGATGTGGATTAAATTGCATCTGAAATATATATAATGTATGGGGAAATATATGTGAACCATTACGCAACGAGTTGACAATTGTTTTAGGTATGCCCGTTTGCGCTAAGACGGAACCCGGTCGCAAAAATGGCCATGAGAGGGGCACGAGTCGCTATTCGGCTTGTCCCGGAATAACACGATTTGGTTACGAATGTTCTTGCGTGTGTACAATCTAGTTTTCCCCGCCGTCATATTGCTGAAGTATTGCTAAACGCGGCGTAAAACCTTTGTCTTTTCTTTGTTTGTTTGTTGTTTTACGCCGCACTCAGCAATATTCCAGCTATATGGCGGCTGTCTGTAAATAATCGAGTCTAGACCAGACAATCCAGTGATTGACATTATGAGCATCGATCCATGCAATTGGGATACGATGACATGCATCAACCAAGTCAGCGAGCCTGACCACCCGACCCCGTTAGTCGCCTTTTACGGCAATTATGGGTTGCTGAAGACCAATTCTACCCCGGATCGTCGCGGGTGTAAAACCATATCCACTCACTCACTCGTATCTTTTAGAAAAGGAAACTGAAAAAATGGAAATAGCAAGTCAGCCCTGATTATTGCCAAAAGCTTCTTGAACACAAATATGAACCACGTTGAAACGCAAAAAATGATGTGAAAATCACTAAAAATAAAACGCAACCACGGAAATGGGAATATGGTACTACCGCGGTGGACATGACTTCGTTTTTCTGTATATTTTGAGTTTGACTTTTACATGTTTCAATGAACATGCTTCATGTTTGGTTTTCAAGAAATTAAAAAATATATATTATATTTCAGTTTACGGAGATTGAAGAAACACATTTACCTTTTTTTATTTTTCTGTAGTTCTTTAGTATTTAGTATATTACTGACGATTAGCTTTAGGAAAGTCTAAAAATGTTTAGAATAGAATTCCGAAGATGAAAAGAAGAAGTTATCTCGAAGAACACCATTCGTCACCACTCGCCCCTTTCCGTAACCTGCAAGAAGACTCGTCCCCCTATCGATGAATGTTGTGTGCGAAAATACGACAAACCAATCAGAATGCGCGTATGATTTCAAGTACTTCGTCAAAGAATCCCTCAGAAATAATTTTTGATTTTACATATGTCTTGCATCTTAAAATATACCCAAAACACAGTTAAATGTGTTCAGTCATACTCTATAATTCCGCGCGTCCCGATGTGCTTTAAGCTGCATCTGAAATATATATAATGTATGGGGAAATATATGTGAACCAATACGCAACGAATTGACAATGTTTTAGGTATGCCCGTTTGCGCTAAGACGGAACCCGGTCGCAAAAATGGCCACGAGAGGGGTACGAGTCGCTATTCGGCTTGTCCCGGAATAACACGAGTTGGTCACGAATGGAAGAACACATGGGCATTGCGTGTCCCTCATAGGCTACCCTACGTCTTTGAGAATCGTTCCCATTGACTGACTTAGGGATTCACTAAACAAAGTCCAGTGGTAAGTGGACGATACTGTCCAGTCTAACGATATTCCCCCCTTAGCTAATGGGTTTGGATAAACGAAGGTGTCTACTAACGAGGCTCCACTGTATCACAGAACCTTGTTATTGCACATATATTACATACAAGTCGACACAATGAGCGTTGTAGACTACACAAATTCACCGGTTGTAAAAATATATGATCTGAAAATTTAACTTCACTGGATCCCTGGAGTGCATCGCCCGGAGCCCCTGGAGAAGGTTTGTTGAGCTGGACATTGTCCTATACTGAGCGTCCTGCCTGAGTCACAGTACATATAGTAGTTCCGTGAGGAAGGGACGGGGTGGTAGCCATCAATGTGCCCCGAGCAGGAGGGGTGGCGTTGATGACAAGGTACACATGTGCGGGGGTCCGGGCACATCTGCTGGTACTGGATATAGTCGCCTGAAACATTGAGTGTAGAAGTGGGAGAGTGAGTGCGTTAATGGGCGAGTGAGTGGGGCAATGAATGAGTGAATGGACGAGTGAATTAGCGAGTGATCGAGGGGGTGGGAGAGTGAATGGGCGAGTGAGCGGGACAATGAATGAGTGAATGGACGAGTGGTCGGGAGGGTGAGAGAGTGAATGGGCGAGTGAGTGGGACAATGAATGAGTGAATGGACGAGTGAATTAGCGAGTGATCGGGAGGATGGGAGAGTGAATGGGCGAGTGAACAGGAGGGTGAGAGTGAGTGAGGTGACTGGGAGGGTGAGAGTAACAGTAAGCCGGTTAGTAGAAGAGTGAATGCAGCGATGGTTGAGTTATCGAGTGAGCGGGTGATCGGTCGAGTGATCCGGCGAGCGGGTTAGTTCGCGAATGTAGGTGAGTAAGTGAGACAGTGGTTATGTGAGCGAATCACATTTAACTATAACCTAAGTATAACCAGAGCAAGAAATCTTCCGCCAACATATATTAGTATGTACCGATCGCAGATTACTTTCAATTGTAAAATACACTGACCATCTTCCCGAGGCAAGAGAGTTAACTGACTATGTAAGTCCAGTTTCCACCCTTGCCGAACTAGGCTGGTATTATGGAGTTACATTTTGGCTGGACAAACGAGTCTGTGCATAGTCCAATCAAAATCGCGCACCGAAATCGAAATCCGGTTCGTAAACTGTCGTGAAGATTTCCGTCGATTGCAGGATTCCCAAAGGATGTGCACCGCCAACTCGTTGTCAACAGATATTTTACAAATCTTTAAATGTTTTAAATCAAGGTGCTCGCGTGATTTGATGCACTTCGCTGTGTTAGACCCGTTTTATCGCAATACACATCTTGATTATCGATCAGATCGTCTTGACGGGGCGCCGCCATTTTGTTTGAAACAAATGCAAGTGATACGAGAGGTGGATTCTGATTGGTCATAGGAGATAGGAGAGGCTTAGAGGGACATAACTCATAATAACCACTGGTGGCGCTACGATCGAGCCCAGGAACAAGGATGGAAACTGGACTTTTAAAGACAGTTGACGCTCTTGCCTCGGGAAGATGTACACTGACATGATTAAAAAAAACACAATAATGCGATAATTCATGTAATTTTAGTATTAAAGTACCAGGAAACTGACTAACACACGAAAATTATTCATATGAACAGAATACCTTTAATCATCTATGAAATACCAAAGATGTTTCGTTTACCTCCTAACACTAACACTCTTAACACTAACGAGGGGGAAGCAGGCCTGATGATATATCTAGTGGATTACTCCAACAGGCCTCGGACAAACACAACGAGGTACTCCAAAACCTGAAATGTACACACTCGGTGACATAGGTGGACAGAAGTCATGCATTACCATCTCGCCGCTCTACAATAACCATCATATGTGTCTACTCTCCTGAGACGCAAGTCTCGCCGTGGACAGTGATAGCCTAGCATTGCATGTAACCAGGTATAATGTTTATTGGTTTGTGAGGGTAGAGCCTCAGACACAGTGGCTGGGATCCGGGGTTAAAGCAGCATCTCATCGGGGAGGAAATGGCTGAGTATGCATTCTTGAATAGGTGACCTTGAATGAGTACCTTGAGTGTTGGTTAGTTTGGTGTTTAACGCCGCAAGAATAATGTAAATAATCGAGTCTGGACCAGACAATTCAGTGATCCATTTCATGAGCATCGATCCACGCGATCGATGACATGCTTCAACCAAGTCAGCGAGCCTGACCACCCGATCCCGTTAGTCGCCTTTTACGGCAAGCATGGGTTGCTGAAGACCTATTGATCGCGGCTTTGAACAGAGTTTAGACATCACGGCGTGTTAGATTTACGTCGGAGTAAAGTATGCTGATCAGTGAGAATGTGAGAATGTGAGAATAGAACCTGATTCTGGCATCTAAGGGGCAGAAAAATTGCGGCCCCTTAGATGAGTTACACATGGAATCTTTCTGGAAGCGTTTGCAACGAAATGCATCACCTCGAATTATCGTCACATCATCTCTGCTACTTTGAGCAGTATGTGGGGGGCACGGGTGGCCCAGTCGTCTAAGGCGCCGCGATTCGCTGTGCAGAGTTGCGTCCCTTGGGCATGCCAGAAACCTATGATTGTGGGTTCGAATCCCGGTTCGCCCCAATTATGTTTCTAGGTTTGTCAGCACCATACCCGTGCTCGTGGGTTTCACCGAAGTGGTAAACGTCTGAGACCTGCATCACTTCGGGCGTTCCCCCCACATTAAGCTGACACGCCGCGATATAACTGGAATACTGTTAAAAGCGGCGTTAAACCCAACTCACTCACTCACTTGAGCAGTATGTGGCTTGGTTCTCGTGTAAACGTCATAATGTTTTGAACAATAATGACAAATTAAAAATAATAATAGAGATTTAAATTTCGCTTATCAACGACCCCATTATTCTAAACAAAACAGCATTTTAAAAAAATGTAGTAATACATGAAGATTGTTTTACTCTAAAACGATTAGGTGAGGTGCGGTGAAGTGGGGTTTACAGTCGCATTAAAAAATTACATCAAATATAAACTGACATGCATGCACGTGTGTGTGTGCGAGCGTAGGTGCGTGCATGCGTGGCCACGTGTACTACTACAGTCCTACCACCTGAAACAGAATCACGAAATATCGCGATGATTAATTAACAAAGACAGATGCATCTATGCTAATACTTTTAAAGTGAAAACAAGTCAGTCCGTCCATCAGGAATATTACATACTGTAATGACAAAAATTACAAAAAGTCCGCTTTTCAAGAAATATCCTTTTTGCTTCCGATAAATATTGTCACTGAGTTTTGATCACGTGGTTACAATGCGGGTAAGCTTCGGTAGTCAGGTGAATATACAGTCTACATTTAGCAGCGTGCGTACATAACAAGCACGAACTGAAAGAAAACCCCGTACAGAAGTAGTACTTTAAGCGCTTCTTTAAGCGTGCACTGCTAAATGTATCCTGCGTATAAGTATTAACACACATGCAGCTATCTTTGTTGATCAATAATCGCGATATTTCGTGATTCTTTTTCAAGTGACAAGAATTATAGATCCGGACTTATGTCGTTTTATATATACAAATGTATAGTGCAAGCTGACTGAGATACCATGCCGCTGTTTAACATGGGTACTCAGACACCAATGGAATGACTGACAAGAAGTCGACATTAGCCAATCAGAATGCAGCTTTCTCGTGCTTTACTGCACTAGCTTCAAACTGGCGACAACGCTTCGAGCCGTATTTTGACAAATTCTCGATTACAAATTTGAAAATCGAACAAAAAACCCATTACGGAATGTTTAATAGATGGCCTAGATTGTATGGATTCAGTCGTAATCCCCGCAACTGTCGTTCGGAATTCCCCGGGTTAAATATTTCAAAATTTCATGATTAGAAAACACATTCTAACTGTCACTTCTTGACCTGGTAAGCGACGCTCTGGTTGGTCGGATGAAAGGTCGTTCTGATAATGGGATGTCCTCAGATCTTTGTTTAGCGGGAGCGAGAACGATAATCTAATTTTAATGAGATTGGACCTTCCGCTCTCCAGACAGACGTCCTAATCACTATACTACGGCCCACCCCTCAAGTTATCGCCATACGTCAGTAGGAACAATTACTCAAACACATGTCTTGAAGGGTAAGGCATTGACAAGTCTGCAAATGTAATCAAAGGGATTACACTACTGGTCTGAATGATTCCCCCAAACGCCGTATTTCCTCTCATAAAAGCACACTCCCGACCCCATATACACAGATATAACGGCTCCATGTGTAATTACAACGTCTATAGTCATGTGGGACATGGGTACTTACCTGTCTTCGTTAATAGACAGGCCAGTTCTCCACATCGAGCAATAAATCAGGGGAGCTTTATGACGTCATGTGACAGATTATATTATTCAACCCTGCCTGACACGTCCATATGACGTAACACTTACATTAGTGTGGAGGCCCCATGTCCATCATCATCATAGGAAGTATCTACATACAACCGTGAATCTAACTCAACTGCCGGCCAAAAGAAAGAAACAAACAAGAAATGGTTATTCGGTGGTGATGTATTTGATGTAGTTTTTTGTAAGAAAAACAAGGGGCACTTTACAGAATTTATACAATTAAGTGTTTGTTTTGCGAGAAAGATTAAACCAAGATGCTGTGCCGCTGACGTATCATGACGGTGTTTTTAAATCATGCATGAAATAATTGCGCGAATCAATTCTCAAACCAAAATAATCGAGCTCCGCACAGGGAAGCCGACAACACAAGCGCTGTGCAGAATAAACTGGTTCAGCCATGTTTTTACATTAAAGGCAAACAGAAGAAAAAGCTCTCGGGTTTTCTTAAGGATGAGTTACAACATACTAATTGCCAGGTTGATTGGATTAGCAGTCAGTATTTATCGAAACCTAGATTATCGTATAAATGTCTCTGCCTAGCCTGTCCCCAAGGCCCTAGAGAATAAAGAAAGAAAGGAATCAACTCAAGTCTAGAATGAGTTTGCAAGTCCTGATTGCCTAGCTCCTGAAATTAAACACTGTTCGCGGTTCCATCTGGATTGTATTTAATATTTTTTATATTTATATTTTTAAATAAAATATATAACTATATTTCTGGGACTAAATGTTAATCTAGCCTCGGTCCTATGACGATAATCACGTTGCAGAAACAAGGCAGTTGTTTTCCCCGGAAAAAAAACGCTTACTGATCTTCTAATAAGCTTACTGCCGAGATGTGGTCACTGGAGCAGAAACTTCTTTCGCGGAATAAGACGAGCAGAGCCGAGGTAGCGTTGAGGTTATCGGCTAATGTTTGTAAACAATGCTTCAGAACTGTTGTCTTCCAGCATTGTCGTCGGACTCGATGACTACTACCACGCCCCCCCCCCCCCCCACCCCCACCCCCACCCCCACCCCCCCGGCCCTATGTCTCTCGAGTGATGGACGCCCCAAGTATATACAAACCCGCAAAGTATTGACGATGAGAAAATGCCCTTGATACAGGGATGGGGAAACAGATGATAAGGAATCAAGTATGATGTTAAGAACACCAATTCCTTACTAATATCAATTTACGCAATGATGCATGCACATATGATTACATAAATCGGCATACATTGCATGGTTAATATTGCCATCGTGGATCTGTGTGGCGTGGAGTTACACTATTGCATGGATCATTGTCAGATTATTACCCAGTGCTCTCTGGAGAGATGACCAAAATGGCAGATTCGCGTATTCAAAGGCTATATGGAAACTTACATGGCCATGCAGGGGTGAGGAGAAATCGGGTTTGACGTCGCGTTTAAGATTATTGCACTTATATAGCGACATGCATGCACGTGTGTATGTGGCTGCTTGTACTAGTCCGGACCGATTTTTAGTGCTAGCTTACTGAGATACCATACCGCAGTTTAACATGAATACCCCACTCAGACACAGTATACTGACTCCGAGCCGACCAGTCCTTAATACCGAGCGCAGGCAGGGAAACAACAAGTACCATCTTTGAACGTCTTTTATGGAGGACAGACAGCGTCATGACATACTGTAACACGATCCTTCTGTTCAGTGGAGCTCAATGGAAGAAATTACATGATGCAGATAAAACAAAACAAATAATAAATATATCATGTTATCAGTTATACACAGAATATATTACTTACATGGAACTACGGGCACGGGCCGCTTGCCACACTGAACTAATTTGAAGTGCAAACATCTTCTATGCTCTTCCGAGAACAGCTGCGGGTACGGGCACTCCATGACGTATTTGACGTATTCGACGCTGCTGGCTGACTGGGAACAGTCGAAGTACTGAGAACAACTCATCTGACTTGGTAGTTTTGCACCTGGATTCCATTTACACATGTGATCGAATCGACCTGTAGTTGGAAAAGTATTTAGAAAAGTATTTTACACATGAAGTAGTAAACATATAAAGTAACTATGAAACTGATACAGTAAGTCTTAAATATTGTAGTGAACGGTTTGGGCATGTTCCTGTTCAACACTGTGTGCCAGAGTACTCCACCAAAACATTTGTAAATGATTAAACAGTGTCCTAAATGATACTGAGAGATGCTTTACCATTGTTGTTTGTTTGTTTGTTTGTTTGTTGTTTGACACCGCACTCAGCAATATTCCAGCTATATGACGGCGGTCTGTAAAAAAATCGAGTCTGGGCCAGATACTCCAGGGATTGACATCATGAGCATCGATCCACGCAATTGGGATCGATGCCATGTATCAACCAAGTCAGCAAGCCTGACCACCCGATCCCGTTCGTCACCTTTTACGCTGATTGGTCGATGCATGTCATTGTATCCCAGTTGCCTGGATCGATGCTCATGGTGTTAATCACTGGACTGTTTGGTCCAGACTCGATTATTTACAGACCGCCGTCATATAGCTGTAATATTGCTGAGTGAGGCGTTAAACAACAAACAAACAAACAAACAAACAAACAAACAAACAAACAAACATAGACGCACTTACTCATTAGTGAGTGAGCATGTTTAGAAATATTCCAGCAATAATAGAACAAAAAAAGGCTTCACACCTTAAATCCATGTGGGGAATCGAACCCGGGCCTTAATTAGGCATAACGAGCGAACGCTTTAACCACCAGTTTCCCAACCGACCCACCTACTCGTAAAACTATATGATCTTACCTAAGGGATTGTTTGAGCAATGTCTCAGGTCCACTTTGTGGGGCCAGTCACACATGCCATTCTGCCGGCTAAACACCGTACCGTGTGGACACTGGAATGTATAGGCCTTGCCAGTGTTACATAGGATGTAGGCCCCACAGTCCCAGGGGCTATAGCGCGGGTACACCCCATCCTCTGCACACAGGGTGTCAAACATTGACATTCCATCTACAAGACTTATGACCCCTGAGAAATAGTGGGTTATGATGAGGACTGTTAGTCGTATTATAGGACCCATTTCTCGTGCTGAAAAGAGAATGATATAACACTTAACTATTTAAACATGAATGGATACTTTTTGTTGTTAGGTCTACTATCGCCTACAGTGCACTTTGCCTACAGTATTATCAAAACAATGTTATACACCAGTCGCCGTCACTAATGAGCTCCCATTACCTTCAGTAGGAATGGACTGACTGAAAAAAACAACCTTGATAAGTGATCACAATTTTATTTATACTTTGCAACAAGAAAAACATTACATCAAGACATCACTTGAAAATAATCAATATTGATTGAATGTCCACTCTTTTCCCTACATCATATCTCACTCATTACAATAGCACATTAATAACTTGTCACTCTCCATTGATCATGTCTTTCACTCAGTCAAGCTTAATGATGTGACCAGCAGGATCAAGTAATTCAAGGGGCTTTTCTGTCCATTTGATAGCTGATCCTTCAGTCTCTGCAGTCTCTGGTCAATATATATATATATATATATATATATATATATATATATATATATATATATATATATATATATATATTATATTATATTATATTATAGAATTGTAATGCTTTCTTTTATTATCTGTACAATAGGATTAGTGAAAAGGCGTGAGGGGGCCTTTCGACTTCTATGTTAAAAGACTGTCAAGATCGTCAACAAATATATGTTGTGGCGTATTAAAAATTCTGTCATCAATGAAGGCTACACGTATGGATATATGTATACATGAGTATAACATACTCCAAACACTTATAACATGAGTCCCTTTGAACAGTTATCCCATGTTTTGGTTGTTTGTTGTTTATTGTCTAATACCCCACTCAGCAAAATTCAAGCGTCTGTAAATAATCGAGGCTTGATCGGACAAGTCAGCGAGCTTCTTACGACAAGACCAATCATATCCCGGATCCACATCACACCCGGATGTTACTAATTTGTGTGTGTGTCATTCTCAGAATCAGAATCAGAATCAGTTTATTCTCAGAAACCACAAAAGGTGGTACAAGAGCATATTACAATAAATAATTATGCATGTGTACAAAAAGCAGACAAGATGGCAATTAATAACAACATGTGATTACCTAGCATTTTTAATACTAATGGACATTTTTACAATGAATCTCAATTTTAGATCCTGTGTGTTTGTTGTTGATAAGAGTTTTACAAATTTTATAATATTTGGCCATTCAGTATAATATGGTGAGAGAAATGTTCGCCTCTCTCTTTTAAAATAATTACATCTGAATAAGTAGTGAAATTCATCAGCAATAGATGGGGAATTACATAATTTACAAGTTCTATTTTCCTTGGGAATATTTTTCCATCGACCAGTCTCATTAGGTAAATTATGATTACAGGTTCGAAATCGTAGTATTGGAATTGCTATTCGTTTTGGCAATAGAAGATATTTATCGAGAACCGGAGTGTCCTTTAAATGTTTATAGTATAAGCCTTTAGAACTAGAATTAACGTCACTTCTCCATTTCTGAAAAAAAGTGATCTTTAAGTATTTGCTCTCGAAACAGAACAACGTTTCGCTGTCAAGTGCTGGGTCTGACTATGATGGACTGCGTCGATGGAGTTGGTAGCTCATTATTTTTCAACACAATCCCCTCCGAGGTCCACACACGTCTGCCAACAATGCTGGAGTGTCTGGATCCCACTGGTGTAGAAGGCTTCTTCCTGATGTGTAGAACCTCATCCATAGCAGGAATAACGTCATCATCATTTGCATAAAGCGAACCAGACAGTTCTTTCTTCAAGTTTGGGAAAAGGTGGAGTACTCACCCAATCTCCTTAAAATCAGATCTTAGTTCTTGCTATCGCTAAACACAGATCTGAGGACATCCCATTAAGGGTCACGTCAGAACGACCGTTCATCCAACCAACCAGAGCGTCGCTTACCAGATCATGAACGTGACAGTCGGAATGTGTTTTCTAATCATGCAACCACGAAATATTTAACACGGGATATTCCGAACGACAGTTACGGGTTTTATGATTATATCCATACAATCTAGGCCATCTATAAGCCATTCCAGAATGTTCTTCTTATCAGTTTTAATTTTTTTAAGCGAGAATACGTCAAAATATGTTTCGAAGCGTAGTCGCCAGTTGAAACTAGTGTCGTAAAGCTCGAAAAAGCTGCCTTTTGATTGGCTAATGTCGATTTCTTGTCAGTCATTTTATTGGTCGGTCAAAATTCGCGAAAGGTCGTTCTGACGTGACCCGTAATGGGATGTCCTCAGATCTGTGTTTAGCGGTAACGAGAGCTAAGATCTGATTTAAATGAGATTGAGTACTCACTGTGCCTAATCTAGTGAATACGGAGGATGTTGAATGAATCCAAAGCCAGAATCATGCATTGCCGCCATGGCGACTGCAGACTTGGGCACAGGTGCATTGTCCTGGTGAAACAACACACCTTTAGTGAGATGTCCACAACGTTTTCCTCCATATTATAACGCAGTTACATACTAGCATGATATTGGCTTTTAGTGGTCTGTCTATCATTGTCCTCAGAGACAATACTTGTCCTGACATGAAGTGAGTGAGTTTGGTTAAACGCTCCACTGATCAGTTTACCGCTTACATCCCGGCGTGTCAGCTTGGTGTGGGTGGAAAGACCGAAGTGAAGCAGTTCCTAGACGTTTGTCACTTTTGTGAAACCCATGAGCGCGAGTATAGTGCTGACAAACCAACTCACTCTCACCAAAATGGAATATAACATCTACTGAACATTTTAAACATCACATACTTTGTACATCAGAAAGATTAAAACTGCTTTGGTTTCGGATATGTCTGGCAACAAGAACATGTTTTTTAGTTTTATATCTGAGTTTGTATATTGATTGAAATCATCCTACGAGCAAGACTGGCATGCAGCTCTTTTCCCCGTTCTAAATAGCTACTCTACGCTTCTTTCAAAATATACTGTGGCCTCGAATTCTGTATTAAAGAAAGGTTAATTTCAAAATTCCGTGCTGCATTAGCTCAACTTAGATGTCCTTCTCACCAGCTCGGAACTGAAACTGGTAGATATGTTAAAGAAGTAAAATCAGATAGACTATGTCATGTATGTAAACTAAGATACATAGAGGATGAATACCATCTTGTACTTGTGTGTTATGCTTATGGCAATCCCAGGAGTGTGTATGTACTCCCAAAATACTACTTGTATCCAACATTACATAAATTAAACTTTCTAATGTCTTAAAAAAAACAGAAACGGTTTAAAATCTTGCAGCGTTTGTATATAAGTCAAGACAACTGAACAATGTATATCAATGTATATATGCTGTCACTCTCTCAAGCAATGGTGTAACTGTAGAATGGGCCTATGGCCTCCACTACTTTATGAATAAAGATAAAGACAAAATAATACATGATATATTTCCATATATTACCCAAATATGGACAGTATTTACATATGTACAAGTGTAAAAAAAGAAATAGTCAAACTGTAAGTACAGTTAACGAAGGATAAGAATTTATGGATGAACAACTTCTTTATTACAATTAAGAGCGACGTTTCGTTGTAGGTTCTAACACCGTTATCAAGCAAGTGCTTGAACCTACACCGAAACGTCGCTCTTAATTGTAATGAAGAAGTTGTTCATCCATAAATTCTTATCCTTACTAAGTACTCCAACTTCTAAATGCCTATCAAAGAAGTTGTAAGTACAGTTGCAAAAAGACCCTTACCTCGCACAATACTTGAACCGAATACTCGTGTCACTTGACAGAGTACTAATATATCACTAGACAGTAGGGGACCCTGATGATCACCCTGTCATGTCCAGTGCGTCAGGACAATCATATAAATTACCCAAAACAGTGTATACTTCCTTACTCGTTGCTGCACGGTTTACGCTTCTGTCAGAGCATGGATTTATTGATGATACTGGCATGTCATTTTGACATAAATCCTGGGTTTGTACACAATAGGAGTCGGGATTACGTGGTATGTTTTCAGGGCTATGCATTCGTGGTTCTCTATGAAGTTGTCACTATGTCATACTTGCTATTTACTTGTACTTCGCAACACTATTGTCTTTATAAATGTTGTCATATATGAAATGAAATAAAGTTCCCTTATATGCAGATACAATAAGTATTATTGGAGGCGAAAATTAACAATATTATGTAACTCTTATGCTAAGCAATTTGGTCTTAACTTCTTTTGACTTTGTAAAGGATCAAGCATGATAAGTTTTCTCTCACTGGAAATTTGAAAGTTATCGAAACTTTTGAAGTAATGTATGTTGAGCAAAATATATTTCATGTCCTTTTTTCTTTCCTATATATAACATGTTTTGCATTCATAACACGATTAAGTACATGACCATGATGAGTGAAAAAGCCTACTATTTTAAATTCAAGAGACAATAAACAAGACTGTTATTGAAGATATCTTTTTATATTTCATTTTTTTTTGTACCGCTGGCAACTACTGTGGAAACAGCCTGGGTTTATGATTTGTTCATGTAAAAATATTAAGAAAACGCTTACTGAGAACTTTAAAATCCGACTCATGTATACCATTGTTGTTACTGTTAATCCTCTACTGTTAATCCTCCACCAAATATATATATTCTGCACTATGTCCCCCATTCAGTCTTGCTTGACAACGGTATAAGGATCTATACCAAAACGTCGCTATTCACAGTATTAAAGAAGTGGTTATCCATAAAAATTGTGTCTATCATTAAAATCCGGGTTTTTGACATATTTTGACCTAACCCTTATTTTGGGGTTGTAATAAAGACGAAAGAAAGATCAAAGAACGATTCTCGTACACAGGAATTCATCTGATAACTTTAATTTTTTTTTGGATCAATTCTTAAATAACGCAGCCCTCATACCATGTCCCCAATATTTGGATATAAGGGAAACCATGCCAGCTGGTGATTCAGTATTTACATTTAACATATCGCTCTGTGTATGCACTAAAGTCGAACTTTAATACTCCCTTTAGAACATTGGTACCGCCTGTAAGTTTCGTCAGCCTTTTACTCTCTATCTCACAAACATGCCTTTACTTAAACGTCAACTTCACCGTTAACGTCATGGGCAGGTCCCTACTTACGCTACCTTCACATCTACACACCATAGCACCATTACATCACTG